GACTGGCCTGTTGCTCTGCCTGCTTCAGTTCCTTTGCTTCCACGCGGCTCTGCTGCGGATCTGTCATACCCTTCCTCCTGCATCTTCCGTGCAGTCTGCTCATAGACCTTCACACTTCTTCGGGAGATCCATCGCTGCCTGCAGAGTCTCTTCTCTCCACAGTCCCAGGAGACCCCATATCTCCTGTCTACTCCAGGCTAAACCATGCTTGGAGCACGTAGCCAGCACGGATGGCTGGCAGCTGCACAGAATAAGGGAGAGCAGCTAGGTGTGCTCATCACACTGGACAATCAGGAAAAGGCATTTCAATGAAGGTGTTATAGGATCCAGCCCTTCTATGACCCCTGGCAGTGGAGTTCATAGCTATGACCAGAGTGGTCAGTATGAAGAATTGTGGGTCAGCTGCTGGAGGACCAGGAGGGTTGGCATAGGTAATGTAGTGTCTACACTCGCACTGCATCAACCTCAGTTAAGTAGCAAGGGCTCAACACTGCTCGGTGGGGGGTGGGGACCATCAACAGCAAGGCACTCCTGCTGATGGGAAACACACGCACAGCTCGGTCAGAGCAAGGTGGCTCATAGCAACTGATCTTTGTAGCACGCACCAGGCCTCATTCTGTCCACAGTCCATATCGTCATAGCAATTAGAGACAACCCCCATTAACAACTTTCCTTAACTACAACTGACATTTTTCAAATGAAGGCTCTGCACAGGAGTTCAATTAACTTCAGCTATGTGGAGGGTTTGAAGAGTTTGTGCCTGAAACACATTCCAGACAAAGAGAAGATTGGCACATGATACATTCGTTAAAAACTGGATTCTTTAGGAAAGGGGCAACTCTAATTAATGGAGCGGTTTCGAACTCCTCAGAAAAACATTCTGCAGCTGCAGAGGAAGTGCTATATGTTTGCTGTGTGTGTGTGTGGGGGGGGGGGTTATACTGCACAAAAAGAGGCTGCATCCCTTCTTTACAGGTCAACCTTAATATAACCTTATCTGCAGAGCTGCGGCCTTCCCACCAAATCAAACGTCCCAGAGAAGGTTTATTTTTCACAGAACTCACCAACAACAAGCAGCAATGGTCAACCAGGAACACATGGTAGACCAGATAAGCTAATGGCATCTCCTTGGGCCAGCAGTAACCAAGTCAGTGGGGGCAGCAGATACTGGGGTATCAGCACGTGACTGGCTGGCTGGCATGTCAGACCGCTGGCTGGGACAGCAAAAGGTGCCAGATCAGCAGTCGAGAGTAGCAGCAGGGGAATGGAGGAAACAAACCCAGAATCCTTTACATCGGTGTTGGCTCACTTCAGCCACAGAGTCGGAGTGAGAATAGGGGATCCCATCCTCAGAGTTCTGTACCACAGACTTCAACCTCTCCTCACTGCCTCCCCATACCTTGAAAGCCTAGCTCTTCCCAGTGGGCACCATAGCGGGGACAATCGAACCTGGAGCCTGTAAGTTTCTTGTAGATGGTCTGCAGGATCCGCATGTGCACTCTCTCATTGTTATCCAAGCCACCTGTACAGAAAACATTGATCAGCTCTCTGACAACGAGCATCCCTCTTCTCTAAAGCACCAACGCAGAGACGTGGCAAAAAAACAACAAAACCCCCATCACTCTGCAGGTTAAATGGATTCACAGAAGAACTAGACATTTAAGTGGATAACAAGATCATCCGGCTTGCTTGGTTGCAGTGGGGGTGGTCTGGGGGGGAGATGAGGAAAAACGATTTCCCTAGGCGGGTGGGGAAGCGCTGGGATCTGTTACCCAGGGAGGGGGTGGAATCTCCATCCCTAGAGGTTCTTCAGTCCTGGCATGACACAGCCCTGGCTGGGATGATTGAGTTGGGGCTGGTCCTGCCTTGGGCAGGGGGCTGGACTCGATGATTCCTCAGGTCTCTGCCCTCCCTGGGACTCTGTGACTAGAAGGATGAGAGGGCGCCCAAGGAGTTCTGGAAGGGATGGAAGCCTCCAAGATTCAGGGCATAAGCCTTTAGAAAGCCTCCCCCCGAAGGAAGACTAGCAGCCAAGTGCAGGGGGTCTTTGCACTTTCCTACGACACAGCCGGTGCTGACCCCTGGAACAGAGATGCCGCATGTGGAACTCCCCAGGAAGGGTTAGAGCGCCTCTGTGCAGGAAACAGCTTTGCAGGGCCAGCCCCAAAATTCTGCAAGAAACTCTGCAAGAAACCCCAATCTTCCCCACCTTCCGCTCCCAGGGAGACATGCATTTCCTTGGCCTTGCCCTCTATCCTAAATACAGAGCAACACGTATGTTTAAACAAAACACCACACCAACCAAGTCACTTCCCTAGACACACTGGCTTTGGCTTCTTCCCCTGGGGAGAGAGCAAGAGAACAAACACCGTGCAACAGACCAGCCACATTGCTTAACGCACGGCTGGAAGGCGCTCTAATACTACAGCAAGGAGCACAGTAGAACTTGAACAGAATAGGACAGGGCTACTGGTTTAACCTAGCGAGACAGAGCTTACGTTTCTGGGACAGAAATTCACTGAACTTAATGCAAGTTGGAATCATTTATTTCCATCTACGGTACGTATCCAGCCCCACCGCCAGAGTATCTGAACCCAGTCGATTCACCCGCACAGCCGCCCTGGGAGGCAGAGCAGTGCTACAACAACGGGGAACGGAGCACAGAAAAACAAAGTGGTTCGCCCAAGAACACACAGGGGCTGTGTCTAGACTGCCAGTTTTTCCGGAAAATCAGCTGCTTTTCCGGAAAAACTTGCCAGCTGTCTACACTGGCTGCTTGAATTTCCACAAAAGCACTGACTTCCTACTGTAAGAAATCAGTGCTTCTTGTGGAAATACTATGCTGCTCCCGTTCGGGCAAAAGTCCCTTTTGCGCAAAAGTTTTGCACAAAAGGGCCAGTGTAGACAGCTCAGATTTGTTTTGCGCAAAAAAGCCCCGATCGCGAAAATGGCGATCGGGGCTTTTTTGCAGAAAAGCGTATCTAGATTTTGCGGAAAAGCATCCGTGGCCAAAGTGCTTTTGCGGAAAAGCGTCCATGCCAATCTAGACGCTCTTTTCCGAAAATGCTTTTAACGGAAAACTTTTCCATTAAAAGCACTTCCGGAAATCATGCCAATCTAGACACAGCCAGGAAGTTTGTGGCAGAGCAGTGAATTCCCAGGCTAGCACTCTAACCTCTGGACCTGCCGCCCGCTTAGCAGATACTGCCATGTAACCATCACAACAGCTGACTTCCTCGATCCTCTTATGAAGAGGAGAGATTTCTAAACGGGCCAACCCTCTTCAGACCTTCGCGGGGATGTGGTACTAGCAGGAAGCTGGTATTTCCAAGCGCCATATTCAAACCCTACTCCACACAGAGGACCCACATAAAGGCTCTTTCTGTAGAATGAACGTGTGACCCAGCGACTTGCGATGTCTGGGGTGCTGGAGAGGGAGGATGCTAGGGAGAGAGGGCACAAAATGGCTGTTGAAAGGCCACAGCCCAAGGTACACAGGCAGCAGTGGGGCGGAAGGCACTGCGCTTCAGGACACCAGCTGAGGGGAGTACGGACCACGCTTCAATCATGGGCATGTAACCGACACCACTCATCCAAGGGAGGCTGATTAAATTGGCTGGGCACAACTCATCCCCCTCCTTAGGAGGGAATACTCACCCTGGGCTATTGCCAAGGCCAGATCCCGTTCACCTTGCAGCTGCTGCTGGAGCCGGGGGGGGCCAAAGAAGAAGTTTGTGGCAGAGCAGTGAATTCCCAGGCTAGCACTCTAACCTCTGGACCTGCCGCCCGCTTAGCAGATACTGCCATGTAACCATCACAACAGCTGACTTCCTCGATCCTCTTATGAAGAGGAGAGATTTCTAAACGGGCCAACCCTCTTCAGACCTTCGCGGGGATGTGATACTAGCAGGAAGCTGGTATTTCCAAGCGCCATATTCAAACCCTACTCCACACAGAGGACCCACATAAAGGCTCTTTCTGTAGAATGAACGTGTGACCCAGCGACTTGCGATGTCTGGGGTGCTGGAGAGGGAGGATGCTAGGGAGAGAGGGCACAAAATGGCTGTTGAAAGGCCACAGCCCAAGGTACACAGGCAGCAGTGGGGCGGAAGGCACTGCGCTTCAGGACACCAGCTGAGGGGAGTACGGACCACGCTTCAATCATGGGCATGTAACCGACACCACTCATCCAAGGGAGGCTGATTAAATTGGCTGGGCACAACTCATCCCCCTCCTTAGGAGGGAATACTCACCCTGGGCTATTGCCAAGGCCAGATCCCGTTCACCTTGCAGCTGCTGCTGGAGCCGGGGGGGGCCAAAGAAGAAGTGAGTAATGGCGGACAGCCCTCGCCTTCGCACCGTCGGCTGGATCTTTTTCTAAGAAAAGGATGATACAAAGAGACGTGTCGGGGTACGTGGTGCAGTCTCCTTTGGAATCATCTGGGAGAAACACGGGGGAAATCCTGTTTCACAAGGGAATTTTTAATTAATTGGGTGGTAACACCAAGAATTAAGGTTGCCCAACACTTTCCATTACAAGACCCTGTTTTAAGTTGCCTCTGATTTTGCCGAACTTTAACCTCTCAAGATTAAGTTTCACACTCCTGGTCTTGACTTCAGGAAAGTTTCCGCAAAAACATTGCAGCTGCTTCTCAAAACAAGGTTAGAGAAAAATAGGTTGGTCAGTCAACATTAAAAAATTCTTACAACTGTTTCTTTGAGAAGCTCTAGCATCTCTGTGCTTTGCAGGGCAGACTCGACATTTGGCAGGATAGAAACCTTAGGGCTGGAGAGGTTCCATTTCTTACCCCCAGGAAAATTCATCAAGGTTTAGATGAATGACGTGCATTTGTAAATCGCCATTTGCACAAGCTCAGAAGAGGTTTGTAGGAGTGTGGCGGCTGCACTCTCTGAACGTTCTGTTGCACTGATCATGCTCTGGCCCAGAAGCACAGGGGATGGGCACGAACCTTCCTCCTGGCCTTCAGACACTGGGGTACCAACGACCAGAAGTTAGAGAAAGCAGACTCCCCCCTGTGCTGCCAGTGCTCCCCCTCTTAGTGCCCAAGCAACAAAGAAGGAGGAAGCAATCTGACTCAAATGCCGGGTGGTATGGGGCAGACACAGTAGCGGGCATACACTGAAGGATTGGACCAGAGAGGGATAGGCTGGAAGCAGACAGGGGGATGTCTGGGATGGGGCAGAAGGCAGGATAATAGTGTAGAAGCTGTAGAAACCATTTCATATTTAGCTAAAAGCCATCTTGTACAACAGAAACCATTTCAGCTTTTCTCTCAAGCACGTAGACCAGAGTGAACGTTCTGTCACCCCGTGAGAAGAGGCCTACAGGATGGGCTATTGGTATGTGTTAATTGGGCTGGTTGGGACAGGAGGTGTACTCCCTCGTACCTGTCCGCCATCTTGTTGATAAGGCTTTGTTTTTCCAAGTTTAATTGAGGATTTCTGTAATTGGATGCCCTGACGTCAGACTGTTTGGCTAAGGGTATAAAGATACTAGGATTGATTGTATTAGCAGCCTTACTGGGCCTGGCTTTGCTGGGACCACGTTTGGCTCATGCTGTGCTTTATTAATTAATAAAGCTGTTTGTTAGCTGCCTAAACAGAGAGGAGCGGTTTTTTTTGCTTCAACAATTGGAAACAGGGGCAAAATGGGGGAGGCTGCCTCTGACCAGGAAAATTTGAGTTCTAGCCTCAGCTCAGCCCAGCCTCACTTTGTGGCCTTTCACTAGCCCCTTTGCCTCCCTGCGTCTCAGTAAAATACTCCCAGCAGGGAAGTGGCCCAGGGACTAACGAGATCCTGTCCGCACAGTGCTAACACCCATCGCTCAGTCCCAGGAGCCCGTACGTACCCTGCACTCTGACAGGTCAGCCGTCTGGAAATATTGCAGTGCTTCATTGAAGGCAATCAGGGGCATGTGACTGGCAGACGTCCCCACGATCCCTGCGAAGGTGAGAGAACAGTCTTGCTTGGGATCCACAAGGAGTCTCCTCCCGCTGAGTCTCACAGCCGGCTCCCTGAAAAGCCCTGCACTCCCACCAGCTTCCCTTCCCCATCAACCACGCTAAGCTTTGCCCTGTGTCCAAACTTAGGCCTGCAAGCACACCACCACCAGGGATACCTCCCACTCGGCTTGCCCACAGCACTCCGGACGTGGTCACTATTTCAGACTTGCCTTGTCAGGGCCTACCAAACTCACTGTCCAATTTGGTCAATTCCACAGTCTCAGGATTTTAAATCTGGTGAATTTCATTAAATCAGAAATGTCACGGTGTTGTAATTGTAGGGGTCTGGACCCAGAAAGGAGTTGCATAGGGGATGTTCTGCGGATGTACCCGACATTTGACGTGTACCACTGCTCCCCTTACTTCTGTGCAGCTGCTGGCAGCTTCACTGCCTTCTGAGCTTGGCAGCTGCAGAGCAGTGGCTGCTGGCCAGGAGCCCAGCTCTGAAGGAAGGATGGCATGGCATGGCATGGCCACCTTTATTTCTGCACTTCTGGTGGGGCACTGCCTTCCGAGTTGGGCACCCGGCCAACTTTACAACCACCATTCTCCAGCTGCCAGCCCTGAGGGCAGCAAATACCATTACCCTCCTAAAATAACCTTGTGACCCCCTGACTTTTTGGGTCAAGGCCTCCGATTGGAGAAACGCTGGTCTCGGTGAAAGCTGCACAGAAAGTACAGATTTCACAGTCTATGACACGTTGCATGGCCATGAATTTGGTAGGGCCCTAGTCCTAAGAAGAGGCATGCCTTGGGACAGTGGGAGTGCTCTGAGAGCTTCTGGGATATCAATGGGACGTTGGTCAGTGGTCAGAGCCCCCAGTTTGGAAGATAATTGACAGACAAAGGTACCAGGGAATACTAAGCTAAAAAAAGGTCACGGTTTGGAGGGGAACACGTCAAATGTCGGGTACATCCGCAGAACATCTCTCCTCTCCTTGAAGGTTTCAGCTGCATGGAGGCATCCGTGCAGAGTCTGTATCAGCCACTCAGCTTTGGTTCAAGGTCTACCAGTCCAATTCTCGGTTATGCCTAGCTCTCACTTCAGTACGCACCCCTGGCTTTTTGCCCAACCTGGTAAAGGTCCTTAAGAAACCATCTACCAGCTGGGCATCGGCAGCGTACGGCACACTCCAGCCAAGTCCCGCAGCATCCAGGCATTCACACAGCTCCCTCCCAACACAATCCACACACATGGAACTTGGTACGTGAGCTGCCCCACACATGCCAGCACCCCTCATGCAAGAGACGCAAGAACAGCTCCAAAGGAACCAGTGGCGTTGCTCTAGTGTAAAACTTGCATAAGCAAGAGGAGAATCAGGCCCCTCATCTTCACACTAAGATCCTCAGAGCAAGTACAATGTGTGTTGTGCACTAGGCCAGACCTGGTAGGAATCTGCATGGACAGATGTCACTGACGAGCTGCTTTGCAAATGCTTCTTTATCAGCCCACAGGAAGGCCTGCAAGCAGGGCTTGAGGGTAAGATTTGCATCAGTGTCCCCTGCAGCATCAGACAAGGAGACACTCCATTGCCAATGCCATATTCTTTGTGTCGTGCTTCACCTGGCAGGCCTGTCACTATCTCCCCCTCAGCACTAATATACCAAATGGCGCACTGGTGACAAATAGAATAGAGCAGAAAACCCCCAAGGCCTAGAAACCAGAGCGCACAAAAATTTGTAACCGGAAAAACTTTGGACTTTGAGCAAAATAAAAATCCCACGACAAACTTTTGTTTGCGGAAAATCAAACATGTTAACATTCAAGAGCTCTGTTGTGCTCTCAAATATCCCCCTCCTAAGAGATGAAGGGGAAGAACAATATACATAAATAACTTGCATGTAGTATACTGCATACAATACATACAATATACAGCTATACCTCTGAAAGGAACAACTGCTAATGGTAAGATCTGAAAGTTTCTTTAGCTATCTTTTTAACAAGCGGTAATTACGGAGAGCAGGTAAGCATATGCATAACACCACACGGGCCAAGTATATTTTTCATGTTGTCAAGTTATTTTTGACATCATTTGATTTGTTTAAAATTATAATGTTGTCAAGGCACGTACCGTAGTCTGTTGTGCTAGAAGATGTAAGTAAAAGGCACAAATGTGGCATGATAAACAAAAACTCCTTTTTCCAAGGAACTTAGGAATAGGGGACCCTGGATCAACATGACTCAGGAACTGCAAACTTAGCAAGATAAATGTAGACATTAGCGGTGACTAAAGCTTGTGCATGCGGAATGAACGGATTATGTAAAATCAGCGAGTACTGTGCTGAATACTGACTGGAGGAAAATTAGGTAACAGAGTATGTGACAATGGATAAGAATACATGTGAAAATGGGCCAAAAACTGAAGAAATATTAGATGAGAAACTGACGAATGAGACAGAAGGACCCAGACCAGGAGATGAGGGCAAGCGACAATCCCGTGATGACTGATCAACCATCGGTATATATCTACAGTGCTACAGAGAGATAATTGGTACCACTGCCGTTATCTGTACCTGACTGGACATTTTCCACAGCTTCCCATTCTTCCTGTGCTCGCAGCACCTCTGCACTAGGCTCTGGCAGAAAAGAGACACAAGGATGGTTAGTGACCGCTAGAACTCTCAGGACAGCTGTTTGCTTTGTTCCGCCATCAGCCAGCAGATAAAAAGTACCACAGTTCCTGGGACCTGACCTCGGCCACCTTTGAGGGTCTCACTTCATGTTCCGTTTTATCACGGAACAAGATGGACACACACTGATAGAAGGCTAAACAGCAGCAGATTCCTTGATGGCCCCTGCCTCGATGATCTCCCATTCAGGCCAAGAGGCCTGCAGCAAACTCACCCAGTTCCAGAGAGGAGAGAATACCAGCAAGTGCAGGGGGCATTGTGATTAGATCTCTCGGGGGAGCTGCAGGCAAAAGCCTCTCTCCACAGCACACTTGCAAAAGGGCCAAGCCACCCCAAAGGGGCAGGGAAGGATGGACCATGGCAGTTCTTCTGGCCATATGCTCAGACAGACAGAGGCAGGCAGGTGCTTTGGGGATGCAGAGTAACAGCTGACCCACATGTCAGAGACAAACTCAGAGCAGATGTTCAGGCCAGAAAGCCTGACCAACACCTTGGAGCAATGCCATGGAGTTTTAGGCCAAGAATACAAAGTGCTCAACAATCTGAACCTGTGGCATGTAGTGAAGTTCTGGCCTAGCCATCAGCAGAACAGACAGGATTTGTTCGGCAGGCAGGAAGAGAAGCACCAGGCTGCTGTAATCACTGCTGGGACACACTGGCCCCTCCGGTACTGGAAGTAGGGATGTTAAAATTAATCAACTAATCGAATAGTGGATGGTATTTCCATCGACTATTCAATTAGTCGACAAAGGTGCTTCCTCTTTGAAATGTAGCAAGAGCCCAGTGGGCTGTTGTGACATTTCAAAGGCAGACGTGCCGCATGGCGTTCAGCCTTTGAAACACACAAGAGCTTCAGCAGGGGTCTTCTGCATTTCAAAGATTGAAATTCCGCATGAGCCTGGGGCCAGCGGGGGACTCTGACTCCACGGGGCATTTCACTCTTTGAAATGTACGAGAGCCCCAGCGAGGACTCTTGTACATTTCAAAGGTGGAACGCCACCACTGCGCTCCTGCCCCCTCCCACTGAACTGGGGGGAACCGGCTTTTGAGCCGGCTCCCTCCAGCACATCCCCTCTTCCCCCCTCTTGCTGGAAGCGACTAGTGTGTCGACTATCCAATAAGCTTTTGCTTATCAGATAGTCGACCAGTCGCTTACATCCCTAATTGGAAGGCAACAGGACATGAAGTAGAAACATTCAAACACAGCTTACCAGTTTCTGTGTGCCCATTGGCTCCCTCTGCCAGCGCCTGCAGGAGTCCATTCTGCTTCAGCACCGAGATCTAGCGGAGAGAACAGAGTCAGAAGGAGCAACGCCCTCTGCACCTTCTGTAGTTTTTAAAGGATTTTGTTCTAGATCGATGTGCTGAACGCCCCAAACCGCAGCAGACAAGGGACCTTCAGCACAAACCTATTTCCCTCCCCACACCTGAGGTCTCCCAGAAGCCACAGTGACTTGTTCTCACTTTGGGAAATATCCCCATTGACACTGTTCTTGTTACGCCACAACCATCACAGAATACAGCCAAGGCCTGGAGACACACTATGAGTGGGGTGGGGTCCAGGAAAAGGAAAGAGCCCTTTGAAGGTTCTCAGGGGCTAACATAATGCGATACCCTCTCAATCCTCCAATCTTCCACAAGCCAAAGGACAAACTTGCAACAACGACACAGCCCTCCTGGATTGCTCCCCAGTAAAAGGCCACCGCTACCACCCTGCTCGCTCAGCACAGACCCCCCAGCTTTTCCACGTGGGAGTTCACCCTTTCCTCTGCCCTGAGACAAGCTGCACAGGGAATGGGGTAGTCAGTCAAAGAGGCAGAGAGTGCTCTTCATTATAAAGGGTTTGTAGTGGAATAGTGGCCCTGCTGGCGGCAATGGGTTAGCCCACAAGCTGGTAAAGGAGCAAGGGAACTGCGTGGAGAGTTTGGATCTAACCCTCTTCCCCGTTTAAATGAGGCCCCACCCCAATCCTTCACTCTGTCCACCCACAGCTGACACAGAAGGGCAGGCAGGCCTAAGCTACCCTGCTTTCTGGTATCCCATTCAAGCATGGACGCATGAGGTTTGCGCTGACAACTGTAATTCCCAGGCCCAACACCAGCACCATGCTCAGCTGCTGAAATGTGCACAGTATTGTGTCACAATGAGCAACAGAACGACAGCGCTGCTGGGAGTTTGCCTGCAGGCGTAGTACAAGGCAATCACACCTTCTTCTGTAACTCCCAACGTTTGCAGAGTACAGTCCACACCACTAGGTAAATGCACACATGGGTACAGTCGTACCATGAAAGCCTCTGATGGAATGCATACACACAAAGGGACTTTGCATTCCTGACTCTTTCTGCAATTACATTTAATTCCTAATGTGGCCATCCTGCTGGTCTTTGCATAGAGTAGAGAGGCGTGGCTGATGCTAGAGTTTAGTCTCAGGCTGCTGAAAAGTTTGAGAATATTTAAGATACGCACAGGTATGGATTTGCCTGCTGGAGGAAGGAAGATACCTCGTTCTTCAGACTCAGGGGTGACTGCGGTGCATCTGTTCATGCCCTAATGAAACAATGAAATCATAGTCACCAGAGCACGAACATCCAGTCACTTCCTAAAGCGGCCCGAGTTCCTGTCAGTAGTACGCATGCATTATACAGTCCAAGCATGGAGTTTTTTTCCAGCTAGTGATCTGGCCAATATAATCAAACGGAAAGGAGATAAGAAAAAATGTTAAAATGAAAATTTCACCTCATTTTCAAAGTTTAACTTTCCTTGTTATTTCTTCTGTGTGAGTGTTTAGTAAAAGAGTAAAAGCTAGGGACTCTTTAAAGTTTTAATAAAAAATAACTTTCTACAGTTGTTACAATTAAAAGTCGGTTTAAACCTGTGTTTCCCAAAGTGGTGGATGTGCACAGAATGCAAAGGACTCACAAAGGTCTGCTAACTCATCTGTCATCTGTTCTTCAGAGTCTCTTCAGCTTTCGTTTGTTTGTTTTTTTAATATTGTCTCCAGTTGTTATGGTTGAAAAACCCCTTCAAAACAAAATACAGGACTATGTAGCACTTTAAAGACTAACAAGATGGTTTATTAGATGATGAGCTTTCGTGGGTCTGGCCCACGAAAGCTCATCATCTAATAAACCATCTTGTTAGTCTTTAAAGTGCTACATAGTCCTGTATTTTGTTTCAGCTACACCAGACTAACACGGCTACATTTCTATCACCCTTCAAAACGTGACCCAAGCATAAATAATGTGGTGATATATGCCTGAGTTTGCAGAGAGTGTAAATAGCCCTGAGCTGTTTACTGCCCCATTCATTCAGAAAATTACTTCCAGAGTTTTACTGGGCGTCAGCCGAGAGTATCTTCACTGGGTTCCAAATAATAGATATGCATTTGTGATGCCCTGTCACTGAGACAGGATTCTCTTCTATTAGCAATCATCAACACCAAAACCCGTCACTGATGTGTTCTCTCTCCAAAATGAAACTTAGGTTTGAAAAAACTGTGCTGAAGAACACGGACACCCATCCTAGCAACTAGTTGCAAGGCAGACTCAAGATGTTGTTAGATGCTGTCACTTAGCAAATAACTATTAAAAATCACTTAAGAACTACTCTATGCTGAAAAGGCTTTAGTGAAAAGGCAGCTTATAATGGCAAAAGGAGGTCTTTTGCTCGTACAGATAAACCACACAAGCTATGTTGGTAAAATGACTCTTTTGATGGTGTAAGTTACAGCTGCCTGGTGAGTAGGGGGTTCTTAGCATGGCTATGTCAGTTAGTGCCACAATTCTTTCACACTCCTTACTGACACACCTATTCTGACAAGACTTTGTAGCATAGATTTGGTTTAATGCTACAGCAAGCTTGAAAAGCAATGTTCTGGGTCAGTTTTAAACAATAAAACTTGGATTCAAATATTTCCTAATGTCCAGGATTGTGTAATAAATAATATTACATAATATTGTGTAACTAAAATAATAAAATAAGGTTTTAACACCACATGGTTCCAATTTCTTGATATGTGGCTCTACTTTTAAAAGTTTGGGAAATTGACAAACCAGCTTCCCAAGCCCACAATTGCAAAGCTGCCCTCAGCACAGAGGGACTTCCAGGAAGGACAAGTCAAAAGACAGGGATCATGCTGGAGCCTGAAGGAAGCATGGAAGTGGCAGACCTGCATCCAGTCAGCTCTGCAATAGGCCACCGGAGCCATTGGTATAGGCAGGGACAAAAACATGAGCAGCCCTCGGGCTACAAATCTTCAGTTTAACATAAGTTTTTGTATATAATTCACTGGGGAGGGGTTAGAAAGGAGCAAGATAAAAACAAATTCTATTTTGAGCAAAGGTAACAACTTCTTCCTCCCCCCTTAAATTTTAGCATCATATCACATAGCTTTACTACTGGAGCTAAGCACTAATTACTATGGCTAGTAGCAGGACAACGCTCTTACCCTATGTGAGCCAGACGTTAGAGGAGGATCCAGCATAACACACTGAGACAACGGTGGATTACTTATTCACGACTCACGAGTCACCTAATTTTACAGATGACACAATCAAGGACAAAGATATGGCAGGTGTTTTTTCTTTCTGAGGCAGGGTGGCTGAGTGAATGGGATTTGGAGCTGCCATATTAAAAGCATTAGGTTTTATTTCAAGTTTGTGCAATCTCTCCGTCCAGTATGAGACCCTGTGAGTGGTGAAAGGTACAGCATTATTAACACGAGTCTGTGGAAGAAGGGAGTCTAGAACTCAAGGTATTTGGTTCCCAGTGCAATACACACTCCCTTCAGTCATGAAAAGCATCAGGGGGAAGAACCATTTGCTTTGTGTCCCATCGAGAACTTGAGCTGGGTATCAAATGTAGATGGGGCAGCATGTGTGCAATGAAAGAGCGTGTTGAAGGGCAGGGTCATAGTGCAAAAACAAACCTAAACCACATGTGGGTAATAGTAATCTTCAGTTAAATGAAGGCATTTCTATTGGCACAAAGACACCTCTTTGACCCCAGACATAACCCCATAACAAATGTAAAAGTCCAGCTGCAAACGAGGCAGGGAGAGAGCCCTTCAAATAAAGACTGCAAGAGTTTGTTTTGCAACAGGAAGCATTAGGCAACCTAATTACACGGGCTGCTGCCACTACTTCTTTTAAAAGGCAAATACAGTATTAATCCCTGCAGCAGAGCTGTTACTCCCAGCTCAGGTAGAGAGAATCGCTAGCCATGCCTGGGCTAGTATGCTCACTGGAAAAGCATGCTGGCACAGTGGCTCGGGCAGGGAATCAGGCCACCCACTGGAGCACATAATGAGGACCCTGTCCACAAGTGTACTCAGGCAGCCAGTGTGAAAGGTCACAGCCCTGCCCGCTGTTATTTTAGCATGTTATCGCCAGCACAGCTAGCGTGTGTACGTCCACCCAAGCTGGGAATCACGCCTCTCAGATGCTGTGCAGACATACAAACAGCCCAGGAGAGAGGAAGGGAGGAGCATGGCCAAGCGGTCCTCAAGCCATCGCCCTGCCCAGCCATCTCATGGGATCCAGCCAGGGAGAACGACATTTCCAGCCCAGGGCCCATCCCTGTAAGTGACTGAAGCCAGCTGCTTTCATGGAAAGTGCAGGGCACCCACGCCCTGTTCACCCTTGCTCTTAGCCCTTCCCATCTCCCGTTCCTCAAGTCCCAGCACAGCCCTGTCCCCCACCCCCTTCCTGCCAGCCACGTGCTAGGCTGCCCAATGGTCCCCTGACAACCTGGCCTCTTCTCCCCACATGCTCCTCTGCACCCCCACTTCC